ACCTTTATCTCTCTCATGCTTTTAAGGGTAAGAATACCATTCATGAAGTGATGAAGGAAGGGTTGTTCATTGAGTTTTGTTAACATCTCTATTGCTCCTTAATATTATAACACAAATCTAATCATTATATCTGGCATTAACCTCCTCTGCATCCTATTCCTTGCTACTCTGAACCCTCTAACAGTTTGGCATCATTATCTTAGAACCCCTCCTCTCAAATTTAAAGTGGAATTCAATAGTACAATCATGGGCACATTGTCCTAAACTTTATCTTAACCACCTGCTCTATTAGATTCTCTCCTTACTATTGCAAATATTCTTTCTATGTGTGTTGGGTCCACTAAAGACAAACTTGTTAAACTTATCCAAGCTTCTTCTACACCTGCCGAAGGTAGGAACATGAGAAATGAATCCCAATAGTCATCTCAATATTAATATTTTCTAATGATATTTTCTTTTATTGCTTTATAAAATGTTAAAGTTCTAAATAAGAACTAGAGAACTTTTTTATTATTAATAATTACTTTCTATCAATGATATTAATATTATTGTCTTTTTGAAACTATATTTAATTCTAATATATTCTCCGATCATTTCACCAAGAGAAAGTTTAGAAAACACCCAAATTATGGTGAATCCAATAATTTTCACTATTATTTTTATAGAAAAATTTTGGTTAAATGAAGGTCTCTTAAGTTTCACTATGCTGGTCATTTATCACCTTTATGTATGTTGAAATTGTGTTTTCATTGAGGAAGCACTTATGAAAGTATATTACTATTATGACTAATAATAAGACTAAACAATTTCTTATTTTTGGGATTTTAACTGCATTGAACAAACTAATAAGAAAGTTGGTAATATAATAGTTCCTTCTACTAAGCTTTGAATTTTAATAATTACATTATTTTTTCCTCTTCATTTAAACTCTCTAGCAATGCTCTCTTTGATAGTTATTTCAATCATTTATATATTGTCTTTTAGATGGGGCATGTGCAATATGTCTTGGCTTGAATGATTCCCTCTTACATACTATAGAGTTTGTACCCCCTCATTCTACATAATGCTCTCTAATTATGGTGAAATTACAAAATTTTTCTCTTATCAAACGTAAGTTTTAATGTATAAACTATTGGAGTAACTTAAAATGATAAAATTTCTAATGATTGAAGCCATAACATTAATGAAGATTATATTTTTTTTTATCTTCCAGAAAAAGCTTGCAAGCATTTAGAAAGTTTTCAAACATTCAACATTGCTTTGCTTTAAGACTATCATTGGAACTTTTTTCAAACTTCAAGAAAGATAAAATAACATTTATAAAATTTTATAAGTCACTCCATGGAAAAATGATTTGCTTCTTAAATCATTACATACCAAAAAAACACATCATATTGTTAATTCCATGGAGGTAAAATGACATAAGCCATATTTTAAATGTAATTGGGACTTATTGAATGTGATCTTAGGTTTCTTCATCTTTATATCAGAAAAAAATAAATAAATAAACTTATCAATGAAATCAAGTCCTCTAAGGTAATTCCTAATTTTATGTAGGGCATCAACATGAAGGTCATTAATCAATTCCTTAGATCTCTCAATTGCATTACTTTGCTTAGATGTAACACTAAGGAAAATAATCACATTAGTTGTTACTTATGTTTGCTCGCCCATAATAATCTCATATCTAATTTTTATTATAAGGCGATTAAAAATATTTTATTCATTATTTAAAATGATAAATCTGTAGGGTTTAGCGACATTATATCTAAATTTTCTATGGGTAATTGAGACATTTTTAAATATGATCATATTGAGGCCAATCAAAACATTTTCACAATTGCAAAGTTGTGTGATTATATAAAGCGTACAACTATCATACATATATCCCTAAGAAAATATAATTGAATATCTTATTAACTATTTGTAATTGAAAGTTCAAGATTATGGATTGTAATCCTACTATGAATAAATTATTAGACACCAATTTTATCTTTTGTAAGTTATTTATATTATATGTAGTTCACAAGTAAAAATAGCTCAAGTAATTTATTTTGATCTATTATTTTCTCTAAAGGAATTATAAAGAATGCCAACTCCATGATTTTAAATTTTCTTATCACAATGATTTAGAACAAAAATGCACATTTGTAAATTAAAAGAAGCTTTTAGTCTTTGTTCTCTAAAAGCCATAAATACCATTTACAAAACCACAACGGTTGGTTGATTTCAAAATATTTTGGGCATACTGGCTTCCTATGTTGTATATGGCTCAATATGGGATTCTAAAGATAAAAATATTTCACCTATATATAAATCTTTATAATTTATAGTTATCATGCATTATAAGTAGATATAACTTCAATTATGTAGGAATTCAACCCTTTCTCTTTATTGGAGACTTAAAATCCATTTCAAATATAACATGGACATGATAAGTCACCAAGTTATGATTAGCTTTAGTTAGTCATATAATATTAAGGCATGCAATCTATTTTCTAAACTTTTTAAATTATCAATTCTTTTGGAAATCTACTTTCTTTTCTGCCCACACAAAAGTTTAAGAAGTAAGAGTTTTTTTTTTTTTTTAAATGTCTTGATCGAACATAAGGCCTTGGCAACAACTTCCAAGGCTTGTTCTAATGGGATTAGTTGGTACCCACTAATTAAACCTATTACTATTGAGATGTAAGAGCATGCCATATCTTCGTTTGGAAAGGATACATTTACAACACATAGAGTTCATTTAACTTATAAAACTACACTCTTAAGGTTAACTAGAATAAGCTCATTTGGTTCAAAGTTATAACTATATATATATATATAAATATATATAAAGTGTTAAAATAGTCCGGACTCATTAAATTATGAATAAAATAATTTTTATAGAGGACAAATATATTCCAATTTTAAATTTAATATATATATATTTATAATGCATTGAGGATCAAAATAAAGAACAATTTGATTAATTGAGGCATCTTTTTTTAATCACACCCAATTAATGTCAAATTTTTATTCCTATTTTAAAATTTACAATTATTGGAGGTTCCTTCTTTTTATTTGAATGCTCTCTTCTCTAACTAATAAATTATGCTTCCTCTTATTATGATATTATCTTCAAAAGCTACTATTTTCTTGCTACTCATATTGTTGACTTTTTCACCAAGTCTATGAGATTTATTTAGAAATGCTTATTTCACTTTGGAGTATATGTGGGTATATTAAATGTGTCATTCAATTAAAAATCAAAATATAAAAGTTTGAAAATGTGTTGTTAATGAATATCTCTTCTTTCATTATAATAACTAATCTCGAACTTCTAAAGTATATGATGTTCGTTTCATCATGTGACATAATATACAACTATAATGCCCACATCATGTTACTTTGACTGTTTTTTACAAATATTATGATAGTGGAACCAGTGATTACAACATTTCACCTCGATCGAGCTCTGTTGCTTCATGTTCTCTTAGTTGACGTGGTTTTGGGAGTATATTGGTTATTTTCTTACACTAAGTTCTTCTTATCTTATATTTTTATAGCTTGTCTTAACAATTTGGCTTTGGAGCAACTAGTTTTTTTTTTTTTTTTTTTTTTGCTTTCCTTATATTCTAGTTTATTTGTTAATAATGGCTTCATATTTAAGAGATGCTTGATGATTTCAATCAATTTATTGCTTAAGATTTTGGCTTATTTTATGGGAGTAGATTGACAATATTTTTTGTCCCCTTATATTGCTCTTTATTCACAATTTTGATATTCTTGTGATGGCAATTAGTCTGTTTTTTTGACTCATCCTATTTTCCCTTTTGATGGCTATGATCACTCCCAATTACATGAAGTACAAAAAAGTGTCTTATGATCTCCTTGTGCCTTTGATCTATGATATGAATGCTTATTGTTCTTACCTTTATGGATGTAATGGCACAATCATTGCTTATAGTCGGCTCTTACATTCAAAACTTTATTTTTCCTTAGTTCTCCAATCTAAAAGTTTTCATTCTATTAAAATTTGGGTTCTTACGCCAGGTGGACTATACATTTAAGTTGGTTGCTATATTTTTTTGGAGTTACATCAACATATCTATTGGCATTTCTTATGTAGGCTTTTTCTTTTCCTATAATTTTTAAATTTCTTTTTCACATTTTCTCTAATCAAATATTACATTTTTATACGACCTTTTTAGGTCAAATTCTATCATCTCATAAACATATACATGTAACTAGTTTTTTATAGAAAAAAAGCTATGCATGACCCATATGTTCCCCCTAAAAAATGTAAAAAAAAAAGTAATTAGAGATTATAGCCAATTAAGTCTCACTTTAAATAATCTTATTACACTATAATTATATTATACAATATCAACTTCATTAAAAATACCAAGAAAATATATTAAGAATATTATTATCATTATTATTTAAATAAAAACAAAAAATTTCAAGTATACTTTCAATTAGCTACTTTGTAATATATATATATATATAGAGAAAGAACGTGGGAAAGATGGGGATAGAGAGAGTGAAAGTGAGAGAGCATTAATGAGAGAGAGAGAGTGGGAGGGAGCATGAGAGAGAAGAGATTGAGAGATCTGTTAAAAAGTAATCAGCAGTATATTAATTAACATAGCCGTTCAGGCATCTGGCATACTCTTATTCCTTTCAAGGATTCAAAGTTTCAAACTATACTGATCTAAATGCCCATGCAACGGGCTAACGGTAGGAGCTCGTTCCGAGTTCGAAATTTAAAAGACCTCGCGGTACGCTCACCGCCAATTCTAACCTCCTCTACTCACCGCTGCGTTTCAAAGTTCGCACATGCGGACAAAAAATGATCCGCACGTGCCGCTTCGCTCCGCTCCGCATTGATGACGTGGCACTCACCCCCTGATGATGGACGGCCTTGATCGTCTAAAAATTCAAATCACTCCGTTCCCTCCCCGCACCATATTTTTATAAGGAGCTTTGAATTCCTTCCTTCTCCTTCGACTGCTTGGTCTTCTTGTCCGAGAGCGCGACAGCGAGGGCGAGAAGAGTGAGCGAGATAGTGCAGGTGAAGGAGTGAAGAAGCCTTTGCTGATTCGGCGAACCCAATCTTCTTTTGATCACGTTTGAACTGTTGGTGTCCGTTATCAGACGATCTAGGGTTTTGCTCCGCCAGCTCCTCGTTGGGATTCTTGCTTGTTTTTTGATAGTTAGAAAGGCCAAGAGAAGGTCGAGAGAGATTTAGGGTTGTGGTCAGATTGTGGTTGTTTTGATTTGGAAATGTCGGGAGTGAATCGGCGTTCGTCGTTCTCGTCGTCGGCGACGTGTTCGTCTCTAACGAAGCGGCCGGCGGTTGAGAATGTGGCTAAGGTTTCGATTTCTGCACCAGAGCAGGCCAAGAAAAGGGTGGCGCTCGGGAATTTGACTAATCAGAACAATGCGGGGAGGAGTGGTCCCCGGTTGCCGGCAATAAAGGGTTTCAATGTGGGTGAAGTTTGAATTAGCTTAATGAACTCTTTGCTACTTTGAATTCTTTTTGTGATAGAATATGGTGTTTTGATTTGATGACGACGTTCAGCCTGTTAATTTTTTCTTTTTTTTTTAGAGATTAGATGAATAGATATTTGTTTGCTGCATGCATTTTGTTGATTGCTTATTTACTTGTACTGCAGTTTTTTTATACTAGGCTCGATGATTGCTGGCCCAAATGCATTTATTTGAATGTCTATTAACTTTTCATTTTAACGCCTCCCCGCCTCTTGAAATTTCGATGATAGTTTTTTTTTTTTTTTTTTCTTTAGTTTCTTCAGTGATTGACATTTTATGCAAAGTGTTCTTGCTCTGTTTTTCGGATTTTGAGTTCTTGAGATCTTGATCATATAGGTATTATACTAAAACAATTTCCATATAATTTAAATTTTGAATTTATTGATGTACGTAAAACAGATCTTAATTTAAATGATCGCTGTCAGAGAGTCTAGATGTTCCAAGATGCTATTACAGCGATGGTTCTGACAAAAGATAAATAAATTGCTTTTTACCTAGAATGTTGCTTGAAAAAGACATCAATATATTACCGGTTTTTTTAATCTCGCAAATGTTTTGAATTGTTTTGTTATCGTTTTTCTTGGTACTTAATGATCATTTCTTTTGTACATGGTTCAGTAGAAGTAATTGTTATGGAGTATGAATTAAAGGGAGACAAAAGTTGAGCTTAATACACCAATAGTAAAATCTATTTTCAACCCAAACACTAAAATTTATGGGTGCACCGATTAATCATAAGAGAACCCATTATGGTTGATTTAATTCTTGACATTTTAATACTGAAACAATTTTCAGTTATCAGATGTGGACTGATATTAAGTATTTTTATGAGCCTTAATACTTTCATGAATCTTAAGTTTGAAGTAGATTTTCCAGATTTTCTGTAGTGGTTATAATTTAAATCACTCCTATTCTTGTGAATGAAGATGCTGATTTGAATTTAAGGGTATTAGTAAAGTATAATTACTCTAGTCTTGTTCTAAACTCCAAGAGTGTTGTCTATAAACATTTTTCATACTTTTACAGAGAAAAATGGGATCTTACTGTACAAATCCACATCAAGCCTATGCTTTTATCAGTTTTCCGAGAACTGAACCAACAAATGAACATCTTTGATGGCTGGGGAACATAAACACCGATGAGAATGAAACATTTTCTTTTCAGTGTTTATAAAAAAAAAAAAACTCGCCACACGTGTTGTTTTACAAACTCTAGATAAATTTAGCAGCATGAACAGCACCATATCGTTATGTTTGGTACTCATTTCTCTTCTATATTAATAAAGTGGATTCTTTTTTGCCAATTCAGAAGGTCACTACTGCCAGTTCAGCATCAAAAGTGCGTAAGGGATCTGCTCCGAGCAGCTCAAATCAAAATTTTCAACGTGACTCTGCTAAGTTTCCATCTCTTGCCAAACCTGCTTCTACTGTGTCAAGGATAACTGCTACACCTTCAATTAGAGTTGGGCAAAATGCAGCTGTATGTCCCTTTCTTGTTCCCTGCAGCAATGTTAAATCGCCAATTCACTCTGTTGATTCAGAATCTATGGATGAGACTATGTCAACTAGTGATTCCTTAAAGAGTCCTGATTTTGAATATATTGACCATGGTGATTCTTCAATTGTGGCATCATTAGAAAGACAAGCAACATATAACCTCCACATATCAGATCGTGTTAATTTAAATGGTGTGTTTTCTAGCAGACTGTATAATTAGATATTTTATTGTACCGCTACAATGGCTTGTCCCCTTATAATGTTTTACTGCGCTAAAACTAAATTAATATCCTTATCAATATCTAGTTGATTTTTTAATAAAAAAATGTTTCTTAAATTTTCTACCAGGAAATGCTTGGAATAGTGATATCCCTGTTTCAATATATGGGGCTGTTAATATACCAAACGTTGATGACAATCAGGAAGATCCCCAGTTGTGCGCATCACTTGCTTGTGACGTTTACGAGCATTTACGCTTAGCTGAGGTAGCTCTTTCCCTGTAAATTTGATTGTTTTTTGCATTTCAATACATTATTTGGGACAATTTGATAGACAGTGTAACTTTTGATGTATTATATGTCAGATAATTGTTCTATATTGATGCTTAATTTGTCTACCACTTGTCCATTAATTGAGGTTATTCTCTCATAGACTAAGAAGAGGGCTTCTACTGATTTCATGGAAAGAGTTCAGAAGGACATAAATGCAAGCATGCGTGCGATTCTAATAGACTGGCTAGTAGAGGTATTTTTCTGATTCGTATTTCTGTGTCTGCAAATTCTTCTAGTGTTAATATTCTTCTTTTTTTTTTTTTTCATTTTCGAAAATTCAGGTTGCAGAAGAATATCGGCTTGCGCCTGACACATTATACCTCACAATAAACTATATTGACCGGTATCTATCTGGGAATGAGATTAATCGCCAACGTTTGCAGCTATTAGGAGTTGCTTGCATGTTTATTGCAGCGTATGTGGCCTGCTCCATTGATTTCACAAACAATCTTCAATGACTATTTTTCTTAACTTGCTTTTTTGCATTATTTTCAGAAAATATGAAGAGATTTGTGCTCCACAAGTAGAAGAATTCTGTTACATAACTGACAATACATATTTCAAAGATGAGGTATGGTGTCAAACCCCCTCTTCCTTCTGCGTTTCCTGTCAATATGATATCCTGCTAATAAGCCTGGTTTACTCAGGTCTTACAGATGGAAGCTGCTGTTCTGAAGTACCTGAAGTTTGAAATGACAACACCAACAGCCAAGTGTTTCTTAAGGTAAGCCAAACCTGTTATTCCCCACCGTTATAGAAACTTTAGCATGCAGTTACTCACTTTCTAGATCCCGCTTGTTCATGACAGGAGATTTGTTCGAGTTGCTCAATGTTCTGATGAGGTAAAAATACTCACTTTCCTTTATTAATTGAGAATTTTCTACACTCAATTGAATGATTTTCTCATCATTTATCTCTCAGGCGCCTTCACTGCATCTAGAATTCCTAGCTAGTTATGTAGCCGAACTATCACTCCCAGAGTACAACATGCTTTGCTATTCACCATCTCAGATTGCTGCTGCTTCTGTGTTTCTTTCAAAGTTTATCCTTCAACCAACGAAAAAACCTTGGGTAAGTGTAACTCAATTCATTTAAATTTTTCTTAGCAGTTCAAAAATCATGTTAATATGAATTCATATGTTTCGATGGTGCCGCAGAACGCAACTCTTACGCATTACACGCAATACAAACCATCTCAACTATGCGACTGTGTGAAGTCTTTGCATCGTTTGTGCTGCAGCAGTTCTAACAGTAATTTGCCTGCTATAAGGGAGAAATACAGCCAACATAAGGTACATACGAACAATCTTTGTTGTTATTTTTCATTTTGACATGCGGGTAAGGGTGTTAACGAGTCGTGCTTGAGCGAGCTCAGTGCTTGTTCCTGTTTGACTCGCTAAAAAATTATTTTGTTTAAAATAAGCTAATGTTGGAAATGACTCATGAATGACTTATTCGTGTTTGGCTCGATTTGAACTATTTTGTTTGTTTAATCTCGCATTGAAAACAGCTCGATTTTTTAAATGCATCATATAAACTGAATAAAAAAATGTTATGATACTATTATTTATTTAATTATTTAATTAATGAGCCAAAACGAGTTGCACATGATCGAACAAAAGTTTATTCATGTTTGACTTGTTCATAAATCAAGCTAAAAAAAAAATGTTTGTATTCAACTCACTTGTTTAACGGACAAGTCAAACACGAACTACTTAGCGACCTAAACATAAATTATTTGTGAACAATGAGCTTTTTGAAAAGCTCTACATGTAAGGAGACATTACCAAGTAATTTCATACCCCTTTGATTCTACAGTACAAATTCGTGGCGACCAAGTACTGCCCACCAGTCATCCCTTCAGAGTTCTTCAATGATCTGAGTAGTTAGGCTGAAGGTTGAAGAGTTAGATCCATGATTGTCTGGTCAACTCAACTAATCAGTCTTTCTAAGGTGTTTCGACTGTATCTAATTGTGCATTTAGTGTTTCGAATGTTGATCTTCTGAATGCACATTTTACCATCATACCGATGGTTTTCTGATGATGATGTAATGCCGAGCTTTCTGCTGGGGATAACTTGCAAGAGATCCCCTCACCAGTTCCTATAATTTCATTGACTTTGTTTTTGATGTAGAGGATGATGTTTGTATTTTCTAAAAAAAATTCGTAGATGAAATTGCTATGGTATTATTATTCGGCCATATATGATAGTCCGCTGTCATGAAGCTACTTGTTTATTTCATTTTTTTGTTTGAGGCATACAACCTGATCACTAAAATATAGGAGCATTTACATACATTCCGCATAAGTCTTATGTAATTACATACAAAAACCTAAACATTCATATTTACATGTATAACACTCAAATCTTAAATTCCCGTCAAAATATCCTCATTGCTATTCTTTCAAGAGTGAAATGCACTTTTTCATCATGTATGAATTTATGACACCAAAGTGTTATAAGTGTAAATGTCAAATTTTGGGTGTTTTAGATATGTAAATGGCGTAAAAATTATGTGAAATGTATGTAAATTTTCCTAAAATATTTTGAACCAGTTTATACAAGTTTGAGTAGGAATTTGAATGATATTTGGTTAGAGCTGTTAGAGCTACTCGTTCGCGTAAAAGTTGTTGATTAGCTGGTGTGAAACATACAAAAATTATGATATAATTTACAATCACACGGGGAAAAGTCTACAACAATTCATATTTGTACGATTTGTAATATAGTTAACATGAATCTGTTACATTTAATAAGTGAATTGGAATCTTAAGGGGTCAGCTACATGAATCCTTTTCTCCATTGCGTCCAAAATAAAATAAAATAAAATAAAATAAAATTCATACTTGGAATGATCCAAACCTTAATTGCATGTTATAATGGCTCAACAAGCTTCATCTTTCTTATGTCGGGTTAGAATTTGGTTTCTATGTGAGGTCTGATAATTTAGCAGAAAGTTCATATTTGTAGATAATTATGTTAAAATTTTCAAGTCTTAAGACTCTTCTTATATCTTTTTACCTTTCTAAAAACTGTCATTACACATTGCACAATATCTTGTTTCACAAAATATTATGTTGTAGGGGACTTGATACTATAATCAAATAAAAGTATATGGGATGACACTAGGAGAAAGTTTTAATTGTACAAACCATGTAGCATATTCTCGATGGAATAACTCCATATGCTTCTTGCAAGATCTATATATAGAATATAACAAAATAAAAATGAATAGAAGGGTGCATATTACCAATAAGTTATAATAGAAAATTAGTATAAGTCGTGCAATAGCCTTGAAAGGTTAAGTCAATTGAGATCACTTGGCCCAATCTGTCACACCCCCAGTCCAGAAGAGGGTACACTCTGACAACTTTGGGCCTGATGAAAGGATGTCGACATATTTTGTATTCTTAATAAGAAAGATTATACATGAGTAATGAATAAAATAAGTATGTAAGCTTAATTTTATTTAATTTCATAAATAAAAGTCCAAAAACAGATAAAACATAAAGGAAAAAAATGAACTACCATAAAAGAAGCTGAAATAGAATGAATAACTAACAAAACCTAAAAGAAAAACACCATAATTAATGAAAATATTTGGAATATCGAAAACTAAATCTAAAGCTCGAATGTCTCATCCGATGGTAACAATCCTACAAGTGGTTGGGTGAAACATACTATATAAAAATATCAACAAATAACTTTGACAAATTAAACTCAGTAAATAATTATTATTTGTTAAAGCATAAAAGATAAAAAAATGAGTCATGCAGTATAACTAACATAACAAAATAATATTCTACACATGCTACAAAATTTGTGGAGTATCAAATGCTTATTATTATAAATATGAGTGACTTAAAGTGATGTACTTCTATGTTAATTTTTATATCACAATATCATGTGTTTTTAAATATAAAATTTCATAATCTTTTAACATTTTATGATAATATATAAGTGCAATATATGTATAAACATATATAATTATAATTAATATTAAAGAAAGGCAAGCATCAATCCCATGGAAATCCAATAATTTTTTTTCTAAAGGCCCATTGATCCGGCTAGCTAAAATAAAATTTTAATACTGACATAATAATATTATAATATCAGACATATTTTATGTATCTCAATCAAAGCACTGAAATATAACTACAATATGTCCACCAATATTTATACACAACTATGAACCTAGGTTGGACCTGAGTTGGACTGAGTTGGACTTCAGTTTACCTGGGTTGGACTAGTGTTGGACTTGGGTTGGACTTAGGTTGAACCTGAGTTAACCTAGTTGACCTGGGTTCACGTTGGGCTTAGGCGCAGGTTAGGTTGGTTCAGGTAGACCTAAGTCAAATCCAAAACCAATTCTAATCCAAGACTGTCTATTTGAATTAACTTCAACTTAAAATTAAAAAAAAAAAACAAAAACAAAAACAAAGGAGGAGGAGGAAGAGGGACTTTTCAGAGAGGGTGGCCGGAGAAGGAGAGGGAGAAGGCACTCTCGGTGTTGGCAGACTTCAAAACTCTCTCAAAGGGAGAAGTAAGGGCCTATTGATAGGCGACTGGGAGTACCAGAGGAGGTGGCAGAAGCAGTTGTCATCTACAAATCGACTCTAACGATTGTCATTTGAGGCAGGGATCGATAGTCATGGTTTCATAGCAGTTGGAGCTCCTAAGGATTGCCGACAACGAAGTGACAAATCAATTCTCAGGCAAATTTGAGGAAGAATGCCACCGATCGCTGGCGTGGCTCGGGAGTGTGGTCACGCAAGCGTCGGGCATGACCACGTCAATAACATTCAGCCATAGCTAGGCCCAAATTGGGTGTCACCACACCCTAGTACTTCTAGGTACAGCTACATCTGAACCGACGTGGGCACATCGGTCCAATGGCAGGCACTAGGATGTGGGCACGCGGGCGTGCGCGTGGGCGTCAAAATGCACGTGGGGCGCAAAAGTATGTATTCCCAACCAAAAAGAAAACGTTGACCTGCCCAGTAGAGAAAATCTCAAAGATTTCAAAAGTATGGTGAATCTTGGATACATTGCCTCCGATGTGAGGTTGTTGAAATCAAAGTGTGGGTTTCACCCTACAAATAAATTGAAATTCTTTATGGAAGCTCAAATGAACTACAAAATGATAATTCTTAGCTCAAATTGAATATGTTTTTGGTTTGAGTTTGATGTGAGTTAGTTTTTGAGTTTGTTTTAAGTTTGAATGAAGGGTTGGCCAGAAGTGAGGTCAACACTAATCCTATGAAAATCTAAAGATTTCTCTGAGGACTCATCAGTCTGACTAGCAACAATAAGTGTTCAATACTAACTCAATCAGCACATCCTAGGTCCGAAAGACAAAACATGCTGACAACATAAGGCTTGATGAAAGGATGTGAACATGTTTTGTATTCTTAAAAAGAATTATTATACACAAATAATAATTAAAATGAGCAAGAAAAGGTAATTTCATTTCATTCCATAAATAAAAGTCCAAGAACTGATACATCTAAAGAAAAATAAGGAACTAAAATAAAAGAAACTAAAATAGAATGAATAACTAACTGATATATCTAAAGAAAAATAAGAAAATAACTTTAAAAAAAACTAATATAGAATGAATAACTACCCAAACCTAAAAGAAAAGCCCCAAAATAAATCTAAAGCTTGAAAGTCTACTCATGTGGAGACGGTTCTTCAAGTGGCTGAGTTAAACTTGATGTAATAAAATATCAACGAATGACTTTGAGAAATTAAACTCGGTAAATAACTACTATTTATCAAAACATAAAGAACAAAAAAATTTGGGCATGTTGTGTGACCAACTGAACAGGATAATATTCCACGCATGCAACAATATTTATAAACGAGTATCAAATGCTAATCATCATAAATATGAGTGACTTAAACTAATACACTTCTATGTCAATTTTTTATATCACAATATCATGTGTGTTTATACATGTAGAGTTTCATAATCTTTTAATACTATATGATAATATATAAGTGCAGTACATTTATATACATATACAAATATATTTATAAACAATTTGTTTTCGACAACACAGTAAGATAAAAAATTGTGGGCACTAATTCCATGGAAATCCAATGACTTTTCAAATGAACCATTGATTTGACTAGCTATGACAAGGACTTAATAGCAACATAGTATTATAATATCAAACATATTTCATACATCACAATCAAAATAAGAGAATATAACTACAATATATCAACTAATATTTATACACAATTATGAAGTCGCAATTAGGATTGTCAAAATGGCTCGTTGTTCGCGAACAGCTCGCGTTCGACTCGTTAAGAAGCTCATGTTCGACTTGTTAGTTTCGTTCGATAAGTTAACGAGCCGAACACGAACTAAGATGTGTTCATTCGTGTTCGGCTTGTTTTGGCTCGAAATACTACTCATCAAGTTTATATATATATATATATATGACACACACACACACACACACACACACACACACACACACTAAGTAGTATTTTAAAAAAATCTAATTGGCTACAAGGCTACAAAGATTTATAACCAATTAAAATATTGATTAAGAAAATAAAATAAAAATTATTAAATTGGATTCAAATGATGTTTTAATATAAATAATAATTTTTAAATCTTGCTCAAACCCTTATTGTCTTATGACTACATGATTAGGGTAGTTAAAAGGACTATGAATAATTCATGTTCGGCTCGTTAAGCAAACGAGCCAAACACGAACACACTTTTTGAGGTCGAAATATAAACGAGCTGAACACGAGCTGAGCATGCTAGGGGTGTAAATAAGTTGCAATAATAATATTTAGTAAATTATGCTATAAAGGAAATAATAAATACTGAAAACACAAGTCATAAGTAATAAAACATGAAGTCTATGCAACAATTAAATAAAACTAATTAACCATGAAATTCATTTTGAGCAATAAATAAAATCCAATGGAAATATATTAAAAAAAGTTAAAGGTTATAACTTGCAAACTTATAATTAGTTAGGAATCTAATACAAATAGTAAAGTTAACAACCCCAACAATGAAGAATATGTGTATCGCCTAATTAATAATAGCCACTTAGGTTGAGGCAAATAATAGAACTTCTACAAGTTTTAGCAGCTCAATCAACATCAACTAGGAGGTACTACACCAATATGACTTATGAAATGTTAATAATTATGCAAATACTGGTATTAACTAGTT